ATGTTTTAGAAATGTGACAATGATTAAGGGCTAGGTGAGTAGAATCCTGACTTTTTCATCCAAAATAAATCAGCCCTAGCAGAACGCAGTTAAAACATTAGAAATATTATCAATGGGAATCAACGTCAAATTCTCGACTCGTTGGAAAACAAGGAAAGTTAAAGAAGCCGCTTTTAAAAAAAAATCCACCAACAATTCCTGAAAAGCGAGAAAGACATGGATTTCAATCCTTTACTCTACATTGAACAGAACAAACGTCAAACATCCACAAAACTCAAGCTAGTTAAATTCTGATGACTTCATACTTCTAACCCTAAACTTTACTTCAACCATATTTTTCCACATTCAATTATTTTTCATTTCGGTTCAACGTTTTCATAAATTATTTTGTTGTTTGTTCCCAGAGAACAAACCATATTTCTGGTATTTCACTCACCCTGTTCTCACTTACAACAATTTTACACGTACACAATTTAACCAATCTGATCCAATGAAGATCAAAACATTATACAAAAACTTCTCAGACAGATGCAGTTCTGAGAAGTCTTCAGTCAAGTCATGTTCTCAACAATGCTGAAAAAGTATTAAATACTTTGTGGCTGTGATTGAGTTACAAGAGAGATGTTCAAGTCTCATTAGTCAGTCAGATAAGAGTAGCCCATGAAATAAGATGGGTTCTATAACTAGCTGCCTTTCCTCTAGTCTATCAGTTAAAAATCAATGATGGCTATATGCAAGTGTAATAGTTCTATGTAGCTTTGCTCACAATTTTTAAGACAAATATTTTGTTTTCATGCCATGAAATGTCAAGTTTGTGTTTTATATTTATAATCACAGTTTCTATGTAGTTATCTTTCATTTTGAAACATCCGTCGTTTAAGAATGCAATAGCGAAGACTTTTGTTCTCAGTAAATGTTTTCCCAGGACTTTTTCTGAGATATACAGCAATCACCAACTATTACCTTGAAAGATTTCTTTGTTTGATACTAAGCATCATGCTACACAATAAGCTATCTGTGTTGTGCCCACTGCGTGTATCGAATTCCAATTTTTAGCATTGTAAGCCCTCATACTCACAGCTGCTATCCAATCTAGTCCAATACAATTTCGAGAAAAAACAATTTATGATCCGGTAAAAGTGACTGTTCAGCATCCTAAGCAAGTATACACATTGTGTTTGCGTTATTGAATAAAGAGCGTTTATTGTGTCTGGTCTCTTTATTTCATTTTCACGAACTCACTCAGTTTCAAGGAAATATAGAACAACTGTGTAATAAATAATCTTGTAGAATCTCCTGTTATTCAGTGGACCTATACTACCCCTCGAAGGAAAATAATTTTTACTTGAAAATACCACATTTTATATTTCACGTAGAAGTGTTCCTAAATGAGTATCCAACTATTCTACCCTAAGAAAGAAAGATCTAGAATCTTCTTTAAATGCTTGACCAAGTGCAAGATTAGAAGTAATGAAACCAATACCTGTAAATAATTCATATTACTTTGCCCTTTCATATTTCAGTTATATATATTATAGACGAATAGTTTTTGTATGAAATAAAAACTAAACTTATTTATTTGTTATGCAAGTGAGAGTTTTCTATTTTTAGGGTATGTTTTATGTTTTGGAAAAAAATTATCTTTAACGCAAATAAAGTGTATTTTTAAATTTTGTTCAATAATTTTAGATTCATTGTCTGTAATTGATTAATAAGTATCCAAAAATCCAACTTCTGTGTAGCTTTGCTCAGAATTTCTAAGGCAAACATTTTTTCGTGCCATGAAATGTTTGCATTTGATTAATAAGTGTCAAAAACTCAATTCCTGCCAAATTTATATGGCCGATTAGGTAATCCTTAAGTAGTAGAAAAGAAAATCATTACTTCTAGGAAGTAATGTTTTGAATATCTATAATGTTCTCAGGTGTATTGAAAAAACCTTAGGTGCAGTAACCACAATAATTCAACCAGGAAATATATTATTACATTATTAATTTGAAATTAATTAACCACGACTGATTTTAAAGTAAGAAAGAGACTAAGTACAATGTGAAGATAGTGAAAACTAATCTTTATTTAAACAAAATATAACAGAGAAGAACAATCCTTACTAAAACATAAAAGAGGAAATCTAGGATGAATGTCATAACTTCAAGAAGTTTAAATTGATGGTTAGGCTGGAAAGTTTACAGAACACTAGAAAGGCTAGGGATTTAGTTAAGAAAAGAAATAGGAAAACCCAAAAAAGCTTATGACAAACGGCTGGCTGATAATGATAAATCTAACAGCAAGGATTATTTTAAGTATGTTAACGTAAACAGAATGTTAAAAATGGGGATTGGACCCTTTAAAGTGCACTGTTGGCAAGATTTTTATAGGTTATGAGATGGCTGTGTTCTAAATGTTCTCTTATATTTTTACAAGATAAGATATAATCAATATTTTGTGGTAGGAGGTATCTAGAGGGCCGAGCATCAAACAATACACACATTTGTGTGTGTTTTTGTATGTGGGGCAAAGACTTTTCGGAACATTAGCCACTTCCCTCCTCAGAAAAGGTGGGCCAGACAAACAGAAAATATCAGTTGTAAAATTTCCGTGATTAAACCATAAAACTATTTGTTCATCGGGTTGCAAAATTTGAGACAAAATGTAGGCATATTGTATTTCCTTTTTAGTAAAATTGTTCATTATTATTAGTTAGGCTAGAACACACATGATGCCGATTGTCATGGATTCATTCCAAATTTAGTGTTAAGTTTTAAACACAGAGCTCTTTCTGGGGGTTGTTTCACATTAAAGAAATACATAAAGAAACTTGACAAATATTTTTTATTAAAGAATTCGTTGTTTCTGTTTTTAGGAGTGGTTACAAAGTACATAGACAAATTGGAGGGGAGATAGAATTATACTTGGTCTACTTGTATATGATTAACTACATTAATTACAAAATTCTTCGTATTAAAACTTACATAAAATTAAAATACATTAATAAAATGTTAATGATTGCCTTTTAATTCGAGCGCAAACTGTTTTTCGACGTGCTAACATCAGTCTAGTTTCATAAAAGAGTAACTGATCGTTTTTGTTGTTTTTTTGTTGAATTTTGCGAAAATCTTGTTTTGTTTTGAAGCTAAGCACAAAGCTACACAATGCTCTGCCCACCACGGGTATCAAAACCCGATTTCTGGCGTTTTAAGTCCGCAGACATACCGCTGTGCCACTGGGGGCTGCGAAAATCTGCTCAAGGGCTATTTGAGCTAGCTGTCTCTAATTTAGAAGTTATAGACTAGGGAGAAGGCATCTGATGAACACCGTCCACCGCTAATTTTTTGTCTATTCTTTACCAAAGAAAGGTGGGATTGGCCGTCAATATATAACGGCCTCACGGTTGAAAGAATGAGCATACTCGGTAACGGGAGAGTAACTGATGGATCACATTCTTTGACGAAGTTTAGTACAATGGTTCCAAAACTTTTTTTCATTGACGACATCCTAACTCACTTATCTTGATTTGTGCGATACCCCTGCTGCCACATGCAATATTTGTTTTATAGTTATTTTTATGTTCTTAATTATTAATCGTTTAGTGAAACTCTCGCGACTCCCCTAGTAAGTTGTAGCGACACACAATTTAGAAACCGCTGGTCTAATGCCTAATGAAACAACATATTATAATTTTTCTTTAAGACTCGCCGTATTTAAACGAAACCTTATGTTACGACAGCAGAAGTCACGTAACGCTGGGAGCATGCGCGCTGGAGTTTCTAGAACGATCGTGACTTAGCGGGCAACCTTACGAATGTCCCAGCGTTTGCTAGACGCCCTCTTTTTTAGTATATAA